AAAACAAGCCACTTCCAATCAGCATCAAGTTCCCAAGCCCGTGCCTCTCGGGAACACGCTGCCAGAGCCCGCTGGTTGCTGGCACACCAGCCAGCCCGGCTACGGGCACAGAGCGGCTCCGTGCCCAGCTCCCATCCCACCTGCGCTGCCGGGAGCCCCCCGCCAGCAGGGACTGGGAAGGTCAAGAGGCACAATGTAAAGAGCTGTCAGTGAGAAGGAGAAAGGCCACCGAGCAGTGACTTACGCCCATAATCAGTTTATGGGATTTATTACCAGCTGGGAAGGTGCTTCCACTGCCCCAGCTCAGGTTTAGCAGAGCAGCACCATCCCAGGCTGGGGCGCAGCACAAACAGGGTTTATGGGTGCTCCCTGGTTACCCAGGCACAAGCAGCACAGCCAGGCTACAAAACCCATCAATTAATGCTTCCTGGGCAGGCCGGGGGAAGAATGTCCACAGCCGGGTTCCTCGCCTTTCCTCCCCCCAGAAGAAAGGGGTCTGGGGAAGGCAGGCGAGCACGCACTTCCAGGATGTGAGTCAGCAGGAATTTCTGGCCGTACCTGCTGTTGGGTGCCATGGAGCAGGAGATGCCCGAGGTCCGACTCGCACAATGCAAGTGCCAGCCCCCAGGGAACGTGAACACAGGCTGCAAACGCTCCCCATGGGTGACCTGGACCCAGACACACCTGCCACAAACAGTCCCGGCCCCACACCAGCCGCTGCCACGCCAGCAGCCACCCGGGAGGAGGAAACACGCTCAGCACAAGTCAGAGCCCTGCCGGGGGAAGCCTTTGGCACACAAGAATGAACCCATTTGCTGCCTAAGTGGTTTTTCTCAGCTCAAAGGACTTGCACCAGTTTCCAGCCTCACCCCTCCGCTCTCCTCCCCCACTGCCTGACTGTACCTGCCCATATGAGGCAGGCAGGCGCGTCCCCGCTCCTCTCTGCTGACCTGGGCAAAGCCCTACCTACAAGGTGGCACCAGATGAAGATCTGGCAAATGCTGATCAGCAGAAGCCAGGCAGCTTGGTCCAGTTGCAGGCTGGCAATGACAAACTGCTTTTGAACACCAGAGCCAGCTGCGAGCCCCAAGCTGGCCCTTCAGCCCACAGCACCTACTTGGGGACAGCAGGATTTGTGAAACAAGGACTAACCTCCTTGTAATCGTATAGAGATGGGCTCAAGGATGTTTAAAATTATGCACGCTGCCAAGAAGCTGAGTTACCAGTTGGTGCACAAAAGCCACGAAAGAAGTCTGTCTGCCTCACCCTTGCTGCTGCATATACATCAGGGGAAGCTGTGCTGAGACCAGCCTGAGCCCTGTGGGTTCTCAGTCAAACATCCAATGGACTCATTTGGAAGCTGAGGAGACCAGCCTTAGCCCGGTGGGTTCCAGTCAAACACATCCAAAGGTCTCATGTGGAAGAGTCCCACTGTGCTTCCTTGGCATCGGCCACTGCAACACAGGGGGGACTCACCCAGGTATGAGGAAGGGAAAAGGCAAGATTTGCTCCTTGTGCCCCTGCTCTGGTGGACCACGAGGTGCCACAAAGCAGAGCTGAGTCACGCAAGGCCCAGCGCCCCACCTCTGGTTATCTGCAGGGTGCTGAGTCAAGCCCCTGCCCCAGGTACTCACAGAGCTGTTAAGCACAAGACCCAGATTTATCATCGCACACAGGGGCTTTGCCTGCAACAAGGAAAGCTCAAAAGCCAGTCTACCCTGTACGACAGCATCTACACTCCTTCAAAGCCTTCTCGTGATCTCTAATTGCTTTAATTCAAAAACAAACAAAAAAAAAGTTCAAAGTCCATCATCTGCAAATCAGCTCAAGGCTCACTATTATTTCAAGGGTGATGGAGAAGAGGGAGCAGCTCAGGAGGCTGCTCTTCGGGGCACATCAGTGCACAGAACAGCTCTTAAAGAGCTTTCTGCCAGCTACATGTATTGATGCTATCCTTCAAACTCCAAGAGCAAAAGAAATGAAATTAAGAGCAGCTGTGTTTACAAAAAAAACAACCCACATTACTAACAGGAACAAAAGGCTCCTGGGGAAGGGAGGGAAAACAGAGCAGTTTAGACTGAGGATGCTCAGGTAGTTCCAAGAAGCAGCCCCTGATACCAAAATGCCAAGCTGTTCTCTGAAAAGAAGGAGCTACATCACCTTTACAGTCATTTTATGGACAAAAATTGTTGAAAACCTCATCACTCGAGCCCAGTGTGAGAACACTCCCCAGCTCCTCCCGATTTCCAGCTGTCTGAACTCAGCACTACCAACAGTCAGATCTAAGAACATCTCACATGATGCAAAGTCAAGTTAGCATCTTAATTTAAAAGATTTAACACTTTTAGTACTGAGCTTTGCAAAACAGCTGAGCCATCTGGGGTTCCTTTAAGAACAAGGACATGGCCTTCCTTTAACACACCTTTCCTCCCCAGCCTCGGACAGCCCAGTCTCCTGGTTCTATTTTGAAAAAACTTCCTTAATGCAGCTGAGAACGATGAACGTCCCTGTGTCCCAGCACAACAGTCCATCTCAATTCTTCGCATGCAGCCCTGGTACCACCCTCCCCCCTTCCTGTTTAGCCCTGGATAACAAGGATTACATTAAAGAGCCATTTCCCCATTAGAACACGCCATGAACGCAGTCCTTCCACTCAGGGCCAATTAGGAGGGTGGGCACTTCCTATGCGCCCTCCCTCCCCTGGTGTTTCCAGAGGCATTAGTGCTCGGAGCAGATAGCTCTTCCTCCCAGCCCACCGGTCCTCTTTGTCTGGAGCCTGCCAGGCTCATAAACTTGCGTTATGACATCAAGCTGATATGAAATCACGATGATTTCACCGCAATTATGTAAGGAGCAGATGGGCTGACGGAGCCGGCTAAGCAACAAATCTTCCAAATTGGAGAACGCTGTCAAGAGAAATTAAAGCCTTATGCAAAAAAAAGCCAACTTGGGATCACAGAAAAATCCCGGCTGGAAGGGACGGCAGGGAGGCACGGAGCCCAAGCTGCTGCTGAAGGAGCACAGGCGGCTTCAGGGAAAGCACCAACACAAAGCACACACAGGCTCCCACAAGCTGGAAACAACACACCTGAAAACACCAACCGAAAAAACAGGCGGAACAATGCAACAGCAGAACAAGTCAGCACACAAGCTTGAAAAATAACCCCCATACAGACAGAATTCAATAGAAATCAGCAAAAAAAAAATTAAAATATTAGGATGGCACACACTGAACAGGCCTGACACACCTACCAGAAATATACCTAGTTTTGAGAGACTGACAGCGTTTTCAACACAACCAGGGCTTGAATTCATCACTTGTTACCAATACCAACACCAGGCAGAACAGCAGGCCAGCGAGAGCAGTGTTACTGATTTAACTAATAACCAAAACCTAGAGCCATCTGTCCTTTCAGAGCCTTTTCTAGGAGAAAAAGACTCTAAATTGCTTGTAACAAGAAATGGCTTAAATAGGTTAAAAATAATGAACCAGTATGCTGCACACGAGCACTCCATGCTCCAAATTAAGCAAGCCTTTAAATGGGGGCCTTCGAAGCCCTCTCAGTTGCTGTAAGGAGGTTAATAAATTGCTTTGAAATGCTGTAATGCAGCTTAGTAAGATGACTAAGAACCTGTTGTCACAGTCTAATGTCATTACCTGAATTCTAGCACTTTCCAGGGAACTTGAGGTTGTAGTTCTTGCACTTCATGGCCCCTGCTATAATGGGAACTACTTGTAAAGGGCTGGGATTGCTCGCAGAAGTTTTTGACTTCTCATCAGGACAGTAGATAAACCTCCCAACACAACACCTATGCAGAGCTGCAACCAGAAGTCAAGATCCACACAGTTTTTAATGCTTTCGGTTTTAAGTCTTTGTTACAAACCAATAGATGATACAGCAAATGAGTGTTCAGTATCACAGCATCTCTTTAAGGAAGGTTGCCGCCTCGTTCACTGTCGAGCGTGCCCAGTGCAGGCTGGTTTTCTGCAAAGCAGGACACAGCTGACAGTTCCAGCTCAGGCTTCTGTGCAGAAGCAAACTCAATATTAACAGACCGTGTCCGAAGGACCCCACGCTCCTCCACAGGACGAGGCTTGCGGTTTTAAGAACTGCAAACCAATGCATTTTGACACTCCAAGCTATGAGCTATTCTCGCTTACAGTGCTCAGCAAGGGCAGTTTTGTTTCTAAAATTTGACAACCCTCCTCAAAGTCATGAGTAAATTTAACGGACAGAGGAAATAATTTCTTCTCCCGAAACCAAATTACTTCCTCCGACTTTCAAACACCTCATGTCAAAGCAAGAAAAGTGGTACCAAAACAATTCCAAGCAGCCGCTCTGAGAACAGCTGCCAAGAAGGCATTTCACTGATGCTTCTTCCCCTTCTGCCAATACGTGTTGTCAGATGCATTACCTAGACAGTAGAAATCATATGTAAGGTCATAACATCGTATTTTAGATACCAGTTCTTAGAAACATACCAGTTTTCATAGGAGGCATTGCTTGTAAAGCATCCTTATTCAGATAGGGCCATCCTCGGGGCCCAGGAAAACATCCTAGCCAGAAGAATGAGCTATGTTTTTTCTTCCACCTTCCAGGTAACAGAGGGAGACCGCTCTGACTCAGAAGAGAAGTTTCCAAACGTGCACCGGTATCTCTGAAGCCCGGCAGACTTTTGCCTCCCTGTACTCCCAGATTATCTATAGAAATGTTTATTAGCACACAATGTTCTCCAGCTAAAGTCTAACATCTTCTCAGGACAGATCCTTCTGGCAAAGGGAGTATGCATAGTGACCGCAGAGCGCGGCCTTGATCCAGCTCACCGCTCCGTGGGGACAGAGAGCGCACAGTGCAAGTATTAAGATCTTGAAGAAACGGTTTTCAAAATGAAAGACCTTTTCAAACAGTAAAAATATGAATTGTGAGCAGAAACTCTGCTACATGCATAGAAACTGTCTAAAAAGCTAACATACAAACAACATTTACACAATAGGCATCTGGCAGCATTTTCAGACATTTTTTTTAATTTATTCTGACATGCTATAAAGGAATAAATTACACTGTTAAAGAATTACCAGCAATAAAAGTATTTCTTTCTTTCAGCTGGGCTAGAATAGGAGTGAGAAGGAAGACAGCCTGGGGCAGTAACCAATGTGAACTCTGCATGGTGCGAGGCTGTCCCCTAGAACAAGAGTAAATCTGGTCATATCCACTTCACAAGAACTTGAAAGAAAATGCCTTGGTTTAAAACCATCCAAATACTCCATTCAAATTTCTCTCAAAACTAGCAATCACAAGTCAGTCCAGCCGATGCATGACATGGCAACGCTCGGAGGCTGCCAGTACCGGGTCTGCAAAAGATGCCATTTCGCTTTAAAAAAAAAAATCCAATCTTAGTATAGAGGGCTGGTCTCAAACAACAAGTTATAAAAATGCAAGACTGCCCCTTCCCCCTCAAGGAAAAAATACAAAATTTATTTAAAAACAAAATGAGGAAGAGTTACAACACTAAATCTAAAATGATTTAGAAAGAAATATGACTTCTTTTGCTTAACAAATGGCCTTAAAACTTGGTTTAAAAACAGGGTGATGCAGATTTCTTAAACTGAATTAACAAGGCAAATTAAAAAAAAAAATCTCATTTCCTTACAGAAACAGTTTTTAGTTTTTAATGAACTTGTAAACAAAAAAGCTCCCGCTTCAAAATAAAAACAAAATCCCAGATCATATAGATGTTTACAGTGATTACATTTATCTAAGCAACTTACATACAGGTTCAGTTGTAAGATGTTAACTAAATTTTGTGACAAATATGCTGTTTTTCCTTTTATACCAAGAACATTATAGAGTTAATGCAGAGTCCTAAAGATTATCTAGTAGTCGCTAAGTTTCTCTTAAGTCTTCACTTTAGATGCTGTTATTTCTAGCACAGGTAAGCAGGCAGAGTCTTTCATACGCTTAAAAACTGGAATCTTTGGTTACTACCATGTCAGCTGGCTTGGTATGTTGCACATAGAAGCCAACAACTTTAAGAATGTTTTAAGTGTACAACTTTCAAAACCCAGGGAGGAATAACCAGAAAAGAGTGCACAATTGTGAGCATTTACAATTATCACAACTGTTGCCGAAGACTGTTCATGCCATTCTTCCAAAACAATGAGATCTCATAAGCAGTGTAGTTCAAAGTAAAAAGGTAACAAAAATTGGCATATGCACAATTTTCTCCACTTGTGTGTCAACCATTAGTTAACTTTTCCACTTGAAAAAAATGCAATAGAAAACTGGACACCATGTTTCACTATCTCAGTAATATTCACAATTACAGCTGCTACAACTCAAAGTGCAGCATCATTGACACTGCCCAGAGCCAGTTTATACTGATATTAAGTTCTTTACACCAAGTAAATGGTTGCCCACAGCCACTGGCAAGTGTACGTATGAACTAAAATTTCTAGGATTTGGGGAGTGACAAGTCCTGCTCCGATCTGCTCTGCTTTGTCCCATCCTCGCCATGCTCAGAAACCTGCAAGATAAACACAAGGGCAACTTACTGATACGGGATGACAATGAGAAACAGCCTTCACAGTAGGAGAATTAAATAGCAGTTATGGTCATTCAAAAGGGAAAATGCTGCTCCGTCTCAGAACTGCAGAGTTCCTGGTGTCCCTTTCCAAAGTTAACCAGCACTTGCCACCAGGCTTGAGCTCCAGCACACACCTCTCACTCACACCTACTGCTGCGCCGGAGAACAGGCTTATGCACCAGCTGGCTGTCACATTCCTTAAATAGGAATTCAGACCAACAGTTTGAAAACAAGATGTGTTATTGCCACTAGGAAGCAGGATGTAATTTCATAGGATTGTTTTCTACTTGTCTGCAATGTCTCGTGTTTATATCCTTGAATGTCAAACTGTCATCTGATTGCAGTGGTGCTCTTCAGAGACGCAGTACAGCAGTGTCACACAGAAAAGGAACAGGAATAACTTACCTTACAGTAACTGGTGCTCACTACGTGCTCACACGTACGATGCTCTGGGCAACCAGAACAGAAGCGAGAACCTTTGAGGGTAACTAGGAACCCAGCATACCTTCTGTCCTTGGAAGGACAAGAGAAACCACATTTGACAGAGGAGGTGGGGAGTCAAGAACAATTATTTCAAAGTTCCAGGCTCCAAATGACAAGTTCAAGACATTATGGAAAAGGGAGAGTAAAAGAATACATAGAGAGATCTCAAAGAACCAGTTACTGCAAGCTAAGCCAGTCTTCATGTGACTGCTTATACACTCATTTCTGGTGACTCAGGTAGTGGCACTGTGCTTTAAAGAGGTAACAAGAGTCTCAACCAAAGACTACTTTGCCAAGCAAGTTTCCGTTCTGGATGCCCTCCAAACAGCATGGTATTCTGTCGATGCATGAATTCATTTGAGCAACAGCTGAGCTTTTGCAACAGAAATCTCTTCAGAGTGAAATACAGAGAAAGCTGACCTCAGCTATAGCTTGTGCTGTCATCCAGAGAGAAGCAAGTGCAAACAAGTCTTCAACGTAGCCTGACATTCAAACAAAAACGTATCTGGATAGTACCCAGAACACAGCTTTAACCCTTCCAGATTAGGCCACAGGTAAGAAGATTCAATAGCTTTGTTTGAACCCAGTCTTAATGCACTGAAGGACAATTCTCTTTACCTAGCACTAGCAATTCTAAAAAAAACAAATCCTGCGCCAAAATTAAGACAGTCTTTCCCACTTGAGTGCAAGTTCCCAGAGAAACCCCAGTGACTCCTTAGTTCCACTGACATGAAGTCATTCATAATCCTTACTTGATGCATACAAACAAAAGATACACTTTTTCCATTTAGCATGTTCAGCAGCGAACATTGATTCATTATTTGAACCACTTTCTCCATCAAAGCTGCCCAAACTAAGTCAACAAAGGAGGAGTGTTCTCCCAGTGTGGAAAGAAACAGATCAAGTAATTTCTTTAGAAGCGTGGGTGTTTCAAATGAGAATGTAATCCTGAACCTGAGGAAGAAGAGTATGCTAACAAAACTTACACTGCCATTTGTTACAACACCTCAAATCCAAGGTATTATGAGCAAGAGAATGCCCAACTCTGCAGAGCAATAGGGAACTGGATTCAACCCACAACATCCCTTGCAAGTCCTACTAAGACTACCTAGAAGCGTTCCCAAAGCCAGCCCAACTACAGCTGTCAAATGAGATGCTCAGATGTTCACGTAGCACACAAGACTTTGCCAGTATGAAGAACACGCTGAAGACTTTTTGCCGGCATCTCTCTTAACATCTTCACCATAGACAGGGCCAGCTCAAGTCTGCACCTTCATCACTCCTTGTCCCTCCAGAGTGTAACCCAAAACTTTGATAATCTCTATGCTACGTGAGGGATACTCAAATTGCTTTGTTATTACTATAGCTGCATATCTTATCAATGGGGGAAAAGTAACTGTTCAGTCATACTCTAAGAAGCTATTCAACTTGAGAAGTGTTCAAACTTTTTCTCTACTAAGTAGCTGCAGAGACAAGCAGTGAAAAGTTTCTGGCTGCCAACTGGCTACTTCTGAAGTAGTGAACTAGTAGCCTGTTCTGAGAAATGCTGCCACAACCATAGGTGTTCAGCGAATGCTAATGGGATTGCTGACAGGCTCACAGACCATGACACTGAAGTGAGTTAAAAACGTCTCTCCCAAGTTGAACTGATAGATTTTATCCTGAAGACTGACCACGTGAGTCAGTTTTATGACTGAGGGAAGCTGACTGTAAGCATTGTTACAGATCACACCTGAACAACTGCTGCACTGTCAAGAGACTGAAGGCTAAAGTTCCCAGAGTCAGCAGAGAAGCTCTGTCTGTTGAAACAGTTCACCTCTCCCAAGTTCAAAAACAGCTGATCTTGTTGTTACAAAAGACACTGCACAGAGTTCCAGAGAGGGACAGGAAAAAGAAAAAAAAAAAAGAGAAAAAAGGCCATTGACAGAACAGGCTATCCTGGAATCACACAGAACATTCAGCCTGAACAACCTAGAGGACTCAGTGAGATGGTTTAATATGGAGCCAAGTTAAGGCAGCCAGGAATATCCACAAATGAGCACACTGTCCAAATAATCTGGATCATCTAAATCTCTGGACATTATTTGAAAGAATATTTCACACACCCCCGTCCCACTCCCAAGATGCACATCTTCAAAGTACTTCACTTTATACAGTATAATGCAAGATTTTAACCAATAAATCCATCTGTAAATTGCTATTTGCAGTACTCTCATTAAATTGGATACAGTTACGAGAGCAGTACAATTTGATGCCATGAAGCCTTTCAAGACACTTTAGCACAGGCTTTGCTACAGCAACTACATGAAAATTTAACTGAACTCCAGAAAAAATAAAACAGGCATTTCATTGATCTTCAGTGTGACAGCAACATAAGCCACGCAGCCTCCTGCTTGAGCTCAGCTGGTTCAGAAAATTTTCTTTAACAGGCAACATTTCTCACAAAAAGGCATGTAATATTTTAGAAATCTGGAATCTTTACTGTGATGAAGAGACTAAGCTATTTTAGAAAGCTGGGGAAGTCTTCAGACGTTTGAAAAGTGCTACTTTAACACTGTGCTGACATTACAGCTTGAGCGATCCAAAGGTCACAAGTCTTTTCTTCATGATGCAGGCAGGGAAGGAGGGAGTCACTCCCCCAGAAGGCTGTTACTCCATGCAAAAGCCAATGAAATTCTGCTAGAAAAAGAACAACCTCTCCATAGCTACAGGAATGGGCCTCGTTACTAGAGGACAGTGCGATGAGGATGGTCATCAAGAAGCAGAAATGGTCTGTAAGATTCAACTGCAAGACAGCCTCTCCGTTACTCACACTTGTCAGTCAGCTGCAGCTTCACACTCTGTCACTAAATCATCACTAGAAAGTGCAGACAGTTAATCATTACCATGACCTTTTCTTCTCTTATGGTATAGCGCTTGGTTAGAGACAACCTGAGCCAGGAGCGGCACATTAAATCTACTTCACCAGCAAAATAACATTTCTAGTGCATACAACTTGATTTTCAGGGCAGTGTCTGTTTACAGACCATCACCTGTTGTAAGAGCTTCACTTTAAACACACACTGTTGAGAAGAATCCACATTTTTGTTCAAATTATTTCCTCCTGCTCTAACAGCCAACCTCTCCACACCCTGACACCAGGCTGGGTTCAGTAATGAGTTCTGAACTCCACTCAGAGCTTCCGTATTTCAGGAAGCAATCTAAGCCCAGGCACTTAATCACCGACTCTGCTACGTACTGGTATTACAGCTGAAGGAACTGGTTTACAGCCTTCAGTGTTGTTACACCCATCGGCTCCAGCCAAACAAGTTGGACTCTTTGTGCCACAAATGATCTGACATTTAATGGTATCCTATGGAAATTTTTTTTTTCTTCAAGAAATCATTTCAGATTTAGTCTTGGAAGACCAGCAGGTATTTCACTTCTTCCAGAAAAATGAAGAATTGTTATATTTTTAGATAGCTATTTCTACGAAAGCCACCTGGTAATGTTTAAATGCTGCTATAATATGTGAAAAAAATATGTTTTGATAAGTTTACTGTAAACACTTCTGCATTTCTTTGACTCCCAAGTCTGCCATGTTAACTTTATATACAGTTTTATAGATATTAAAATGATAGTCAAGACAAAAAAATGTACTGAAGAGTAGCAAGCAGCAGTAATACCTCAATATGTTACCTCAGCAGCAGTAACTTAAATCAACTTCTCTACTCTCACCTCGTTAGCTCCAATTTTATCCACAGCTCAACTCGGGGCATCAGTTTTATTACAAGACTGGCTGCAATAGTCACTAGCTGTAGCAGCTTCATTCTAGCTACTTACCAGACTAACACTGGCAGATTTACACCACAAAATTTTTAAAAAAGCTTCATGAATGTGTAAAAAAAAATAATTGTATGTGCTTTTTCAGAACTCAGTTTTCAGTTTTTAAAGTTACATTTTGAACATTTCACAACATTTCCCTTTGAAACCATAACCTAAGAAACATTAAAAACAGTAAAGAAACCTGAAGCCCCACCCCAGAGCATCCACATACTCCAGAAAATTGTGACTTGGCAGTCCACAGCAGTTCAGGGTTACTCTGGGATTTAGGCAACACATTTTGAGCTCACTGGTCCTCTCCTTTAACTCTGGACCAGATGTCTCAATGGAAACCCACTGGAGGAAGCCAGATCATTCACAATTTTCCGTTACCAATGTTTGAGGCATACAGAACAGAAGCAAACCCACAGCACTGTACCAGCTGGAACAGAGTAGAACCCAAAGTCTCTAGATCCTTGCCTAGTTAATGAGAATTATCCCTTAAGAAGTGTTAGGTCTAGGATTTTGGATTGTATAATATATTTATACATATATAAATATATGTATCATATATGTATATATATAAAGAAAAATAAATAAAAATGTCACATTCCCAACACCAAGTCAGTTTCTTGTTTTTGGAAAGTGGTTAATGCGGGAGCAAAAGATGCAGTGGTTAAAATGACCCAACATCCCCAGAAGAAATGATATGAAGAACAAGGACATTTTGGTATAAAGTTAGTAGTCAAATTCTCCAAGGACGTCTCTTGTTTTTGCTTTTTAAATTAATAGCCAAATATATTTTTTAAACCACCTCCTTGATCTAACACTTAAATTGCCGACATTGTCCAAATTAGTGTAATTTTTTTTCCTGTAACGTCACTTGGTTCTTGGCTACTAACCTTTCATGTTACTCTTGGATTTGTCAGTTTGCTTGCCTGTGGGGGTTTGGGCCTGCTGCCCCTGCCCACTGGAAGAGGCTGCCTGCTGTGCTGCTTTCTGCTTTAACATTGTCCAGTCGAATGTGTAGTCATATTGGTGGTTCAAGGTCCTAGAAAAGAGTGAAATACTTTACTGTAACACATCATAGCTTCCATATTGCTAATACCAAGCCTTTGCTGAAAACCCAGAACTAGAGGTTAACTGTATTTGTGAGCTGCTTTAAGGATTGTGAATGGTATATAAATGCTAAGTATTACTAACTTAACAAGATTCTTGAAGAAAGCCCAGATACCATCAAGCAGCATTTTCTTCACTGTTTACTCAAAAGTCTGCATTTGTACAAGCAGCCCTCAGCATAACCCAGCTTACCCATTTGCCTGCACTGAGGCTCTCAGCCTTTTCTTTTTTTAATCTATACAGTTTTAAGGAAAGATTGCAGTTTTGTAGATCATTGAATAAAAATTGCTTTGGATTCCAGAAACCTGGAGGGAGACACTTGAGAGATCAGTCCCAGTTCTTCTTGAACAGATACTGTTCACTCCACGAGGCTGAGTTTATGTTCTGCTTTCTTCAACAAGCTCACTGAAACAGCACTATTCCCCTCCACTGAAATCCATCTCCTGGGCACCACTGCTAGTCCCATCACCAGTCTCCAAACAAAGAGCTTCAAATGTTTCTACCGAGGGGTCAATTTCTTAAGCTATGTGCAACGGAAATTGAAGCTAGAGGCTCGATCTTGTACTATTAGTGGTCAGATCACACAATTTAAAAAAGAAGAGAATCTTTCCCTTCATGTTCAATGTTGAACAGTATTTTTCAGGTCCTTTAAACAGTTTTTATACTTTGAAATGGAAAGACTGTCCCAGAATTCCCTACACCACACACACACAGAGCAGCCCTCTGCAGTGCAAGTCCCCCAGAGCAGTTACCAACTGGTAAAGCACCGACAAATTTCAGTACTTTTCCACTTTGAGACTGACCTGAAAAGAATACGGAATAATTGCCTCAGATACATGTAATCTGGTGCCTCTTCAAAGCGCAGGCCACGACAGTAGTTCAGATACATGGCAAATTCTGCAGGGAATCCCTGTAAATCAACAGTGTTAATCAAGCCACGGCTTGCAGCAAAAAGCTTCTAACAACCCTATTAGAAAGCTAAAAAGCTCTATTTCTGTCTATAACAGCAGAGAAAAAATGGCTGAAGACTTGTGTGAGTAGATTCCACTTTGCCTCTAGTTATTCATTTATTCTGTATTTCAGAAGATGGATTTGATTGGCAAGTTACCAAGTACACATTCCTTTCCCAGAATTGTTACCTGATGCATGTTTTGCAGTTGCAAGTACTCTGCTACCAAAACCTTCAATATACAACATAAAGCACTTCATTCATCCTAATTAAACCTAGTTCTTGTTAACTAGGTCTCTGAAATAAATAGTAATTCTTTCTTACAAGATTCCACTCAAGTTTCCTTGATAATCTACCTGAGCATACTAGAGGCAGTTATTAGGCGTGAAGACTTCTTTCAAAGATTCCTTCACGTATTTATGTTTAATGCTATACTAAATCTTAATTAAGTAAACAGCATATAGTGCTGTACGACAAGAAAGAAAGCATGGGGTGTAACAGTTCAACAGTTTGGAAGATGTTGTCAGACTGTAAGGGTATATAAATGTGCATGACTAGGAAGTGCAGTCCCTGGTGCTGCTGTTTCATGTGCAAAAGCTACCACGCGTTCAAGGACCTTTAACAAGCACATGGCTGCCACAGAGAAACCTTAAGACCCGAAGGACAGCATTGGAGAAATGTCATTCTGCAACACAGCTTTAACAATCACTTGACATCCAATTCCACTAAAGCCTCAATTTGAGATACAGACAATCTGAACAAATCTTGAAGAGGCAGAAACAAGTATATATGGGCAAGCTGTGCAGCTCTACCTTGGTTTTATTTACCCAAGAGGGCACATGTAGAACTTTCACTGTAGTAGTTGAAGAAAGGAACACGCCTCACCTAAGAGAGCTGGGGAGTTTGCACAGCCAACAGTTACCAAGAACTGGAATGATGGTGGCACGAACTACACCAGGAAACAGCAGCAAATGCCTGCCTTGTTACACACACTGAGAGTCGTGCTGGGTGGCCAAGCACAAGGCACCCATGACTGCCAGAGAAGTATTATTCAGCAGCAAATGCCATGTGAGCCTAATATATTGGCTCTAGTGTTTTTTTTAAAAAAAAAAAAAAGGGAAGAAAAGAACTTCCATTTCACAGTATGACATCATTTGGAAACTCTTACCTTACACAAAACCTCAACAGGAGTGGACATTTTCTTTTCACTAATCTTTTCATACTTTTGCTTCTTTGTTGCAGCCTGTGGAACATGTAGGTCACAATATAAGAGATATTGTGCAACACTGGATTAACAGCGACAGTAGCAAAAAAAATGACAGAAATCCTTTGGTCAACCATAAGTATTTTATGTGAAATCTCCAAGTCCCACACACTTATTGCAAACAGAATGAAGGTCAATCTGGTATTAAGATTTGGACACAGTTTAATACCATTTGTCGCAGTCTAATGCTTCCATCACATGGCACAGCTCGTGTAGTTCTAGCTGCTGCTTTTGTCCATTAAACAGACCAGACTTGCATTTCCATTTGCCAAAGTTCTATTAATTCCCACTCAGTACCCCATTCAAGGGCTGCCTTCGTGTTTCAGTCAGCAGCCATTACATTCATTTGCAGCTGAAGAGTTCTAGTGTTTCACAAGCTGCTTGTCTTTTTAGAAAACTTGCAGCTGCAACACCATTTGAGTTACACAACTCTCACATGGAGGAAGAAAAACAATTAAAACCAGGAGAACAAATCACCGAAGTCTACAGAACAGAAATAAGAAATATTTGCCATGCTTGTACTTGGCTACCATACATGGTAACACTTGAAATAAGTCTGTTGCAGCTATTGCTCAGTCATACCATAAACTGGACTGAGGATACCACTAAAGCTGAACTTGCTAGGCCAGAGATTATCTCCATGCTCTCTACAGTAATTCAAAAAGCCACTAAATGTTATTTTCTACTTCCCAAAGAGGACCTCAGCCTACAACAGGACAATAATAATTTGCAAAGATGACATAAGCTATTGTTTGGCATAAATTTTAAGACAGTCAAACAATATGCATTTTGCCTGCTGCAAGAGAAGCAGAAAGAACATTTCTTCTACATTCTATAAATATCATGGCTTAGGAAAAAACGCTTTGTGTAACTGAAGCTAAACATTCTACACAACCACCTATCCATACCTGCAGGCAGCAGCATGATTCCCAAAAAATAATAAAAAAAGGAAGGGTGAAAAAGAAAAAGCAACATAACCTACCTTTAATCCTTGCCAAGGCAGACTGGTTCTGTTAAAGTACATCAATACATAGCCTAGAGACTCCATGTCATCCCGACGACTGGATAGAGAGGAAGAACACAATGAATTACAATTTTTGACATTTCATACTTTATTCTAAATAGTGCAAGCATTCCAAAATTAAAAAAAAATAATTAAGGAATAAAACCTAAGCTTTGGTGCAAAGGAAGGTCTCTTTCTAATACAGCTAAGACATCTAGGCTTTCAGGATTCCACTGGCAGACATGTAACAAGTCTTCACAAGCAGGAAGATGATCCTATTCATTTTTGAAGCAAAGAATATTCAGTAGGCATTGTGCATGGCAAGTTTCCATCTGCAGTTACATTAGAATTATTTGGGAAACAAAAACTTTGGAAAATAAAATTTAAAACATTACATGTCTTTCCCATTTAATTAACTTGGATAAAAACTAAAGCTTTACCTGCAGGAACCACGGAATGCATTGTTAAGAGAGATACATGACATTAGCCTTAACTTCATTAAAGACGATTTTGCCCTGAACCTTCCCTTGGTCTGGGCCCAATGCTGAACACCTCGCCCCCAAAGGGTGCAACTCCTTTCTTTCCTCACTTCTGTCAAAAACCCCTGAATTGCCACCATGATTTTTAAGAGACAAGCAATATTTAGAAAGGTGCCTCTGCCTTCTTCCCACAAGAAGTCTGTTTCAAGACAGCTAGAGAACTCAAAAGTTACCTATCCATAGATAGGTAACTGTGAATTTGCACTCAGACTCTGATCTGAAAGGCTTCAAATGCTTCCTGTACTACATATGCTCTAGATCCACACTTTAGCCACACAAACACTATCATACTTTGCTGCACAGCTTTTGTGATTTCTAAGGCTAGCAGGTTACTGAAGTGGAAAAAGTGCTCCATGACTTTTTTCCTCTTGGCAAAGTTGCTTCTTCCCAGCTGTGGTAGAACCAGATTTTTCCTCTGACTGACCCTCTGCAGCTGATATCTATTTCACATGAGACAAGACAATGTATGTTCTTTTTCTCCTCCCAGCTCCCTCATGAAGAGAGCCCAACAGGTATTGCTGCTGCTTTGCCAACCATGCAGATCTGCAAAAGAGGTATTTAAGTGGTGGCAGGAAAGACTACACACATACACCACCTGCACACGGGAGTAAAAGGCTGAGAGCAGGACTGCAAACAGGACTGTACACATGGGTGAGGGTAAAACAGCTCCCTTGAAGTGAGAATAATCTGTAAGAACCTGGAGAGAGCTACCTCCAGATCTTGGTATCAGAGGAAAGAAGTTGTAGGTGATGCTTTATGTTACAGCCAATCCAAAATAACCACTAATTATCACCAGAATGACCTGTTTGTCACCCACTCAACTCATGTTCCAACCCCCTGACGCTTTGGGGAACCAGTTCAGGGATCTATCCCAGAGGAAAACCAGCTTGGCTCCCTAAGCCATTTCACCACAAGGACAGAAAAGCACTCGCTGTGTGAAGGGGTAAGGGAAGGGAAAACTGAGGTTCGCTCCTCTTGACAGCAGCTAGCTCTGAGGTCATCTCAGCTCTAACATGAAACCACAGCCAGAGACATAGGGATAAAAAAAAGAGACTAAGACCACAAGTTTCAACCTGAAAAACTTGCTAATTCTATTACAATCACAGATTTTAATCATCAACAGGATTCAGTGAATGGTATGGGGCCATGACATAAAGTGCCATTTTCTGAGAAGGCAGCGGTAAATTCAGAAGTAATGAAGGGATTAATGGTTTCCATCCCCATCCAGTTCACTGGTTTAACGTTTAATTTCAGGATTTTGTAGGAAACATTTGGTTCTGTAAGTCTGTAATGGATATATTATATTTGAGCATATACTGATGGAAGCCATTTTCAGGATTTGAAAAACAGGACAATCTCCATTATTAAAACAAGGAATGGGTAACATTGCAATCAGCTCCTTGAGAATAGCTGTCATTACACGTGGGAGAACGTTTTCTGTAACAGTTAAAATACAGCACTAACAGTTGAAATATTCTGCCAGAATCTTCAGGACTGGTTTCTCTTGATTACAGGAATATTTTACCTGTTTGCCTCACTGCTGGCTTGATCTAAACAGTTGAATAGCTTTTAGCATGCACCAAACTACATTTCTAATTATATTGGAATTCTCAGTACCAGCAGAGATAGTACAAGACCTACAACTAAATTCAAAAGCTGTAGTTCTTTGCAGTTCCCTCCTTGGACTGTAAGGTGCCCTCACAAGAATGGCTTGGGTTCTATGAGATGTACTTACTTCAGAAATGGCACCTGTCATTTACCCTGCTTGACCCACATGTCAAGTAGGCTTAAATAATGACAATGACAGACAACAAAATACACTTAAGGAACCTTAAGGAAATTAAAGCAAAGAGGAAACATGGAGCATTTGAAAGAAACAAATATTTCTAAGTTACATGTTCTGTTGAAGTTGACCACTAGAAATTCTATCATTCCCTTCTTGATTAAAAAGTCAGAGGCAGAGACATTCATGGAAGTTTTAACCATGTCTAAGAAACCTCAGCATCATGTGGTAAATCCATATTATTACACATATATTACAGTATCTAGGCATATAGACAAGGAAGGAAGTGATGCCTCTTTCTCATGAGTACCTAGTATACATTTTAGCAACACTGAACTGCTATCTCCACTGGACCACTGACTGCTAAGATACTGTAATAGCAACATGCTTTTGATCCAGATGATAAACATTTGTTGATTAAGCAAAGCTCAAATATATAAACATATATACACACAAGTGTACATACATACACAGCCTCAACTATGGTTGTGTATAACAAATTAAAATACAGAGTGAGTGAAGTAGATCTTTAAGTCTTGCTTGTAGGAAAGAAGGATAAACAATCGTTTACTAACTTGAAGGGAGGGTGAGAAAACAAGACACAGACACCAGCTTTGGAACACCCTTTCTGGCTACAGAATTGCCTAATTGCCTCTCAAGTCAGTCAGCAGTGGCATTAACAGGTACCAACACAATGAATAAAGTGCACCATTTTATTTGTGAAGGTCCTCTGACAGATCCACACAAAAGTATATCTTATCCTTAAAAAAAAAAAACGAACCCAAAACTGTATGCAGAACATCCACCTCATGCCTGCAAGACTTAATTTGCTTCTTGAAGAGAATCTAAGTGCTCAGATTTTTCCCCCACCCTTGCACAAGCATCCAAAAAGAAAAGCAATTGCAAAGAGATATATACAGTTTTTCATACAAAATTAGTTCCGATACTTCAGCAGCTTACAAATAAGATCATCTTGCAGCCTCCAAAAGCACAGCAGTAATCTCCTTGAACTCACCTCTGCTCAATGCCAAGATGTGCATTGATACTGGCATACCGAGCTGTGCCAGTGAGATTTTTGTCTTCTCTGTATGGTATGTGTTGCCTTGTCCTGTTGTCCCGGTACTTTTTGGCCAAACCAAAGTCAATAAGGAATAACTTAAAGAAAAATGAAAACAGATTACATTGCTATACAATGCAAGGAATCCCCAATCTCTTTTACTAGGCATTGGCTACATTTTAAGACAACCACACAATGTAACAGCCTACAGTTAAGAGGAAGCAAAATAACAGTGCAGTCACAACTAGTTTTAACTAGCCAGTTCAAAACTCAACAGTGAATTAGTTGAAGCCTTTTCTCAATCCAGTGGAGTAGATTAGATTGTGCTACTCAGCATCCGTAGCTTAGTTCTACAACTATTTTATGTTACTGTTGCAGTTTGTACCACACTAGCTCGATAACTACAGTGCACAATTTAGGAAGGACACTAGTATGTGCGAAAGCACACTCCACAGAACCCCACTCACACTAGAGAAGTTTACACATACAGATAGTTAATGGCAGCTCAGCAGCTTAATGCAAATGATGCACATCCTGTTATCTTCTCTATGTCTCATAAAGAACACTGGCCATTCTGCAGAGCATGAGGCCAAAACCTTCAACAGCAAACAAGACATCTGGCTTTCAATCATATGCTCATTTTAAGACTACCAGACACTATCACAGCAGCATGACACGCTCGCTGATGATATTAATACAGCCAGGAAGCTAGAGCCTAGTACATGGAATCCAATTTAAGTTTCTAATGACCAAGCTTGCCTAATGATTTGGTATTTAGCAACAACTGAGTGCGTGCTAATTAGTGAGCTACTAGCCAGCCTATCTACAAAGGTTAATACAGACTGTACCTTCTTGTGACAAGAGTTCAGGACTAGGCAAAAGAATCTGAGGCTGAAGTATGTAAGGAACATTTCAAATTCTAGCAATCAGTCTTCAAACTACAAATCAGGCTGACCTCCTGATTCAAACGCTGGATTAATACTATAGGATCAGTGACTACAACCACTACAGGTTAATGAGTACTGCAAAAGTAACTTGGGTGGGGAAGGAGATGATGGAAAGAACACAAAGTTCAAGAAATTCTCAGTAAAAATCTATTCAGTATCATCTTAAAGGTGATTCCAGAACAGAAGATGCAGCTTTAAATGCTAACAAGTACTGGAGATGGATACACAGGTAAACCTGCATCCAAGACTGAAACAAAGGGTTACTCCAGCACAATGGAAGTGCCATGAATTATAAAGTGACACTTGACATAGAAGTATCAAAGATACTGTGGAATTCAGGAGCTTTGTCTTTCAGTAGGTACGTTTCAGAATTCTGAGGAAGATTCTTCTAACTATAGAAGTCTAGACAGGAAAAAACAAAGCTAAAAACCCCTTAAGCCACTGAATTTGGAGCAGAAAACCTTGAGTTGAAGTCTTGCCACGATTTATATGCAACCACAAAGCACAGCAGTTCTACATTTGCTGTCCTAGTGAAAGGACACTTTCACTAGGAAATGAAAGTCACCCTGAAAGTCCAGAATGCTTTGAACAAGGGGAGGTAAACCCAAGTTTTTATGTCAACTACACTGGTCGCAGCTCAGGAAAGTGGGGGGCTTTGTTGCACCCACCACAGCTACCACTAGAGGTAGTTACTCACTTGGTGAGCATGGACACCAGTTCATGGTAGCTTCTCCAGCTACCAGGAAATAAGTGATTTTGATATTGAACTCCTAAAGAAGATAGTACAAAGCTTCTATGTGATCACTATACTTCAAATGCAACTTTCCTAGAAAGCAAAGCTTGAGCTCAAATGCAATCCCTTGTTTTCCGATTAAAGCTCTCTGGTCTGACGACAGCCTCTGAAGTACAATTGGCAACAGCTACTTTTGCAGGGCCTATGCCCATTATTTTAAGCAAAATACTATACCTTGAGAAGGATGGAAAACCAAACACTATACAACACATCAAGCAGAAATATTTTCACTGCATATTTAGTTACAAACGCTTTAAACAATCCAAAGTCTTCATATGCTTTTTGTAATCCTGGGGATCTTGCCGGTAATTAATGGTATGGAGGGACAAAGCCACAGTTCATGAATCAAAATTGTTAATACTGGAAGCGTGCCTGTAATACATAAATAGCTGGTGTCCAGCCTCATTTAGCACCAACTTGGTATGGCTACGTTCTTCAATAGAGTTATAAAAGTAAATGCTGGTCTGCCTCTTCCACCGCTTCTGCAAGCTCTTGATATTAGATCTGAACAAGGTAATTCTGCAATCTCTCAACAGCTATGGGTAGAACCTCTTCGGAAAAAAAAGAATCAATTCAGCAACACAGACCTGTTCCACACTAGTCAAATAACTGGATGTTATTTTACAACACTGATTTCTCCAGGGAAGTTTATTCTGTTCCCTAGCTTCAGCCCATTCTGTATTTCCTGTTCCAGGTGGAAGGCAAAGGAGCAAAACCATCTTGCAAAGAGTTAAGTTGGAAGACAGAGCCCGATTTGGATGAGCACGGAACGTACTAACGCCAGCCAGCAGGAACACAGACGTATTCCCACAGATAACCTCATACCACCTTAATTCTGTTTGTTGCACAATCAGCAGGAAACTGGAGAAGTAGGGCAAGATTTTTGCCAAGAGCAACTAGAGAAGTAGATCAAAGCCTCTGCCTCGACTGATAAGAAAGTTTCAGAAGGAGACAACAGAAGTCTGTCAGCTCGCATACAGCAGCAAGCTGCCTGGGATTTAATACATGAAGACTATCATTGTGGAAAGCTAGGGACTGATTCTATGGCCAAACTCCTGAGCTATGATTCATATTCAGCAATTTCCAGCTGTCCTGCTATGAACTGGCATATGTCTTCATTTCTCTCCAATTCATCTCCTCTTTAAGAGTCAGGAGTACTACATTTAACACTACAAGATAAACCCATGCTTTTCCAAGACACAGCTTGTTGGAGTAATTTCATTTTTTAAGTACAATGGATGAAAATACAAGAGTCCTTATTACACTTTTGGAAAGATTTTTGAACCAAAACTGCAAGGGAAGGTGCCTGGCTGAAGCGATAACAGAACATCTCGCTGTGTATTCAAAGACACTGCAGGAACCCTACAGGAAGGCAAGCAGAAGCCCTCACATTTCACTAGGGTGGCATGTCTATCCTTCAACACATTCAACAGATTGCCTTTGAGTTTTACAGGACAAAAGTAAAACCTGCTTCTGCATCTGAAATCAAGCACTTACATTTGGCCCTTTTTAATATCCAGTTTAGAAATAATTCCACAATTTAAACAAGCGCCACAGGGAAACATCTTAGTAATGTTACATGTTTGCCAAGTATGTCTGAATAATGCCAACATAAGAGGTGCTTTTGCAAGGTCTACATTCTCCAGAAGAAAAAAGAACAAAACAAAACAAAACCAAAACAAAAATAAAGCACATGAATTTGGGGTTGAGGTTGGAATAGGAGACAGTTCAGACCTGGTTTAATCCTGAGAAAGATGGGTCCTGAGAAGTACTAACAGTCATGCTTCTTTTCCTCTTCCCCACTGGAGATTCTAAACACTGAACAAACAATAGAGGGTGGCAGTGCATCAAACAGTATTGCTTACATTGCAACAATGGCCGGCGCAGACAGGCAACACCGAGGCGTTCGAGAAAGAACAGGGTAGCCAAATGCCATCCTTCTTCCACCAAGCACTGTAGTTTTCAAAAAACTATGTATGTTCTTTTTTTATTAATTTTTGTTTTTATTTTTTTTTTAAGGAGAAAATTTTGAAAGATGTGACAAGGTAAATTTCAACTGTGAGCCGCTCCAAAATGGCACTGCCTTGACCAGGGATAGCAATGGTGACATTTGGCTCTATTAAAAAAGGAAATTGAAGTTTTGCTTACAAAAGCATCCTTTGGTTCCACAAACTGCCCTTCCCCCAAAAGACATTTAGAAAAAATAAATCTTCAGTAAGGAAGAGGTAGAAGGCATTTAGTCACCTTAAAGTTTACTTTCATAAGCATGCAGGGCTTATTTCTAGCAGAGCTGAAAATTCATCTTTTAAGGCGGGAGCAAAATTTCTCCCAATCACCACATTAAAATTTGAAAAAAATATAATTTTTTAATATAACTGACAGGAAGCTACTGGAACAAGATTACCATGCTATTCTAGTCTTTGTGGCTAATTTTCTTTAAACTGTGTGTAGCCATCTTTAAAAAAAAAAACCCAAACTAGACTTAGTTACAGAAAGAAACAAAGTAAATGCTGTATGGTGGCAAGTGTTCTCTACACAAAGCGCTTTGTTCCAAGCTGAAGCAACCTGTTCCTTATTTTGCATATGTAAACCTATTATGTGTACTTTCGTCAAGAACTACTTCCCTAATCTCTAAAACCCTGCAACAGGAACGAAGCCCATGCCCGCAGAGTGTTTACCACCATAGCACTGTGTGGCTCCCTAACTAGTCCACTAATGGGAAAAAAAAAATATTGGTTTAAAGGGAATTTTTTCATTTCAGCTGATGCAAATCTAATGTGTTTCTCCACTGAAGTAAGTACAGCAGCATTTTCTAGGCCATTAATCCACATCAAGATGAAAGAGTGCAGCAATGCCAACCTAGCATGACTGTGCAAAAGTACAGAAAAATGGCCCAAAAAGAACAATTGGAAATCAGAAACTAAAAACTAGGAAAAAAATAAAGTTTTCAAGTTACACTCCAAGTCATGCCAGAAAATTAAGGAGCCTAACTGCTCAACACAGCAGAGAAAAACAGAGCTCTACAGAGTGAAAGTATGAAACTTGGGAACAAGCAAAGTTTAACAGCAACAGAATTACATGAAGACTGCCTTTCAGCTGGATTTACAAGCTTTTCCAACAATGGTTGGATCTAAACATTCAGTGCACTGCACCTCTTCAGACAAGAGCTGTTATCTCATGTTAATCAAGCTTTCCCCTTCTAATGTTCATGGCCCTGAAGTTGGCATTCATACAGGCAAACAAAGGTAAACATTTTAAACACTAGCAGTATCTAAAAAGATGAGACATTCTCTGATGGCATATAGAGAAGATAAGTGGGAATCTTGCTTCCAATAAACAGCTTGATCACATACATTTGTCCTGAAGTTAATTTCTATTAAGGTAGCATGCTTAATGCATTGCCAATGCTGCCTGTCTGCCCGAGCTCGACATACAAATTGCAGGATTAAGCATATTTCACTCAAGAGAACTAAAAATAAAACCCAGTTTTCTTCTATATAAGGTTTTCAATGGGAAACATGCACTTCTGACTACATTTACCCATCCAAACAAGTGTAACAACCTCAGCCCGCTTCCCTCCCCCGTGCTTTCCCCCCCCCAAAGTAAATTGAGAGCAGTTTTTTTGTTGTACAACTTATTCAGGTACTCTACAACTTAACAGTTTTCCATCAATATATTTGCATAATTTCATTTATTTATAAAGGCAATTTATCTACATATTGACTATTAGCTGTATCCGCAATTCTGATGGCTGAAGAGTTCTCTTTACCAGTCTTGTCACTGCAAGATTTAATGCCCTGATGACTGGTAGGTCAGGTGCTCCCACGTTGGCATGAATTCTTTTCATCCCAGGAAGTCAGCCCCAAAGCCAAAGATAAGATTTGACTTTATCATTGAAAAAAACATGCTATTACAACAGTTACCTCTACAATGCCATCATTGAGAAAAGTAGCTAGGTATTCTCTAGGCTTAGTTTATAATCTTGTTGCAAGCCTAGAAATCCTCTTGAAATCAAGTGCCTCTCCCAGAGTGGGTCAGAGATCCACATGTGCATGCCACTGCATTTAGAAGTGGACACTGAGAAACCCAAGACTGCACAAAGGATCATGGTTTAGCATCCAAAACATCAGCTTTAGCAATGAGTTTTATAAAGGTTGTGCAGCTTGAATCATGTAAAACATAACCACTCCCTATGGATCTTTTAAACAAAGAGCATAAGACTAACCTTATTACAGTGACGCCCAATACCCATTAGGAAGTTATCTGGTTTAATGTCTCTGTGTATAAAATTCTTTGTGTGCACATATTCAATTCTACTGATCATCTGTAAAAAAAAAAAAGTAACAACAAAACAGGTAAGATTTCATTGAGAACAATACAATTCACTTAAACCTTTAATGAAAGCATGAAGTTTTAGTGTTACCTTCCTCTACAACTTCACCTTCTATATTTGCTTAATGCTGTTCAAATACATTTATCTTTCTTGTATGTTAAAATCCTATTATCTTGGTCAGGAAGTGGAAGATTAAATACCCAAAACTGTTTCCTAGACATTCAATTTCATGTTCTAACTATAATGTCCCATTAAAGAGTAATTTCTTTTTCTTACTTCAAACAAAGGTCTTCTATACCTACCACAGGCCAATATTAAAAGCTCCTTCCCTCCCCCGTCCCAGTTATTCATTCATCCGGTTATTCATTCATCATCAAGCGTCACTTTTCCAGGTAAGAGTTTTTCACAGAGCAAGTAACAACTTGATCGCAGCCCATCCTGTCAGATCTAGGCTACTGTGAGCCAGGAGTAACAGGCAGCAGTGAAGATGCAGAGAAACTCCCTATGCGTGAGATCACAGCACATGCGTTGATGCGATACAGCTTCCCAGCCACTAAAACACTCTTCAGGCAGTCTTCAGTATCATACCTTTGACAGCTGTTCTACTGGACTATGCCCTAAAAGCTGGTTCCATGCACTGGCATCGTACATCCCATCTACACTTCCCAGGTGACAACTATGTAGTGTTATCCAAAGGAATACTGCAGAAAAACCACACAGATTCCCTGGAGATGCTGTAACACCCAGGCTCTAACTGAGCAGGCAAATGGCTCTCTAAAGCAAGCATACCACTCACTTAAGGCAGCTAAGAATAGGGACAGCTGACCTTGTCTCCATACAAACACTGTGAGCTTCCTTGGCCAAGAGCCTGGGATTCTACGAGCATCTGGCTAAGTGACAACTTGATACTAACATCAATTACGTAATATTAGATGAAGACTAAACTACCATTGAAAATGCAACTTGAGAAACCCTTACTGCCTTTCAAATAGCTGAAGACACCAGAATCAAACTATTTTATAATAGTAAGAAATAAATATGGCTGCCCATTTCAAATGCTGTCCTCTCATGATCAAATTGAAAAAAAATCTCAATTGCTAGAAAAAGACTAAACCTGATGCCTTAAGTAATAGACCTCAGTTTTAGAGGCCTTGATTAAGTCTGAGGTAGAATGGCATCTCCTCTAACAGCTTTAAGAACTGTCTTTAAGCACCACAACCAGCAAAATCATATTTACTAGCTCATGGTCTGGTACTAGAAGTTGCAGGAGGCTGTGAGCACACAGTGACATTCAATAAGAACAGACCCATAGACTTGCACGTTGCCCACCTGTCACTGCAGCTGGCCAACACGTAACAGGCTTCTAGTTAATCAGATCAGCCATAACTAGAGACTGCTTCAGACCTTCTGACACCACTGCCACGGCTGACAGCAGGAGTTAATCCACCCATGGCAGTCCCAACACTTCACAATAGTTGCATTTACTAGATCTGGAGCATGAAGGAATTGGTATCTGTGCTGCCCTCCCACTACAGGCCTACATCTACTTTGCATGCCCCAGCACACAGAAGTCACCTTTACTTCCTTTCCACATAGGTCAAGTGTTCACTTGGCTAAATATAACACTGCGTAACACATTATTTAACCTACTTAATCATGTTGCACAAAATACTTTAGGGCTTTTAGCTTCATCACAGTAAGATCTGTACGTACCTGGTCTGCTAACATAAGTACTGTTTTCATCGTAAACCTGCGAGAACAGAAGTTGAATAGGTCTTCGAGACTGGGACCGAGAAGATCCATAACTAGAACATTGTAGTCCTTTTCTTGACCATACCACCTGCAACAAAGGAAATCACTCAGCATTAGCAGGAATCCTAATGCAGCCCAAGATACCATTAGCCCTCTTGGCTGCAAGGGCACATTGCTGGCTGATATTCAGCTTGAAACCTAACTAAAAACTTGGGCTTGTTTTTCCTGGAAACAAAGTCTGAGAACAAAAGAGAATACACAAGTTGGCAAGTGGGTGTGCACGCAATTAGTTTTCCCGTAAGAGGAAACACCACTACACTTTAGCAGCAACTGAAATACCAAACATCAAAATGAAAATGCAATCATATCAGAAGCCATTACATGTCAGAATACTGAGGTGTATGTACAAAGTCTGAACTGAAATTCATCTGCAGGTCAACTTACACTCTTATCACTGTTTCCGTGTTATTTAACTTCATAGAAACATCTTTAAATGCTTTCGGCTTTTTTTCAGCTATGACTTCTGCACAACAGACCAAAGCAGCTCAGGCAGTTAACTCATACACTACCTTTTTGTTCATTCATTCAAATTTAACAAACAGCAATCACGTTCTACTGTCCTATTCAGTAGAAGATAAAGGCTCTCTATCAGGTTTTCAACATCTCAAAGGGAAAAGCATTTAAGTGTCACAAAAAGATACAGGTGTAGCAATATATCAGTTGCAGCCAGACTTGTGATAACCACCCTTAAGGGTCTGATACATCAACTTGGGGCGAAAAACTCAATGTTACCAATGCCATGAGGACAAGCAGAAGGCCTCACATGTGCATTTCTCCTTCCAATCCATGTCTAGTATTTCTGTCACAGTATTGCTTTATGTTACCTACAACTGTATTTCACCACCTAAGCTGTCTGAGAAGACCTGGAGTCACACCCTTCACTTCTGCACATCTCAGCTGGGAATTTCTGTACTTTAAACGGGCACAGAAAGACAGGACCTGAATATTTCTTCTCTACAGTCCTTCTGCACATTCCAGACACCTACAGTTAAGTGAGAGCTATGTGTGAAACACTGTTTATGAAGCTGTGCTGACTACTGGTACATCACTGTAAAGATTCAACACCTTATTGATCAGAAGGCTACATTTTGCCTCTGCAAGGCACCTAGTCCTTATGACAAGGACCGAGTCCCAGCAGTCGACAGACAAGGCACTGACCAGCTCTCTCTTGGAGGAGTCTTTCCAACAGTGGTGCAGGCAAGATACACCAAGAATATAACCCATGATAAAAGCATGCAGATTAAAAAAAATAATAAATAAATCAAGATACAGCTCAAACACAGTAGTAGCAGGGGCTTAAAGATCTGTATAGACATTTTATTTCCACTTTAGGCAATGACTCCAGGAGACTAACACACAGTTGTCTGGAAAATAGTTGCCACTGATAAAGCCAACAAATTCCTTGGTACTCACAGGATTCCAAGCTCAGCCAGGGTAGTAAAGCAAAATGTTTACAAAACCATAGAGAAAAGATTCTATATTTGGATTTGTTTCAGGAACAACTGGCCTGCACCTTCCAGCTTTCAGGATTCTAGTAGAAACCATGCACTTCATGATACACAAATCTATACTATAGATTTGATAAAAGCTAAATAGGAGCTGCAGATCATACTCATTGTTTTACAGGTCAGTCTAGCATCTTTACTCATTCCCTACATGAAAGGGGGATGCGGAAAATATCTATTTTGAAAGCAACCATTCAAATAAAATGCCAACAAAAGTTTTCCTCCAACATATTAATAATCATACCAATACTGTAAGTACTATTCATCAGTTTTTGCCTTCTAAAAATTCACTGAATGTACTATGTACAAAACCCCCCAAACTCAACTACAAAAGCATGCTAATGGTATTACTTGATAAAGTTTGTAATTTATGAAAAGGTTAATATTGACACCGCAACCTGACACTGAGCCATGAAACATGCATTTTAAAAAGACCTGCCTAGACAAGCCCTTTTAAGGAGTGATATAAACCAGTTTCAACCACAAGAGCAACTAAGAAGAGTATTTAAAAAATGCAATGCAGAGATGGAGGAAGAGTCAAAATGAGACACTGTTGAGAAAAGTTCTTAATCAACTACGAAACAGCTTCAGTTCAAGAATTACCAACTATGCCTGTAAATCTACTTCTTGGTTTCTATGAAGGTCACCTATGCGAACGGCTGAGCCATTGACAAGGCTCTATAAACAACTCCATAGGTCACGGTTGAAAATTAAACATTATGGTCATCTAGAGCAATGAAAACTGGACCAATTGACCTGCCTAGTCATTCTGTCATACAAAATTTAGGTTTGTTGTGAAAAAGTCTAAAGAATAATGAGTGGAATTGAAGCATTCAAGGGCATAAATCAAGATTTAGATAAATTATTATTTTCTTCAAGAAATGGAAGTCCAATTCAGATGCTGAATGTAATTGTTCAGTAATGATTCCGTACCCAAGAGACTGCAGCATAAGGGGAAAAGGATCAAAGATCAGTCTTCAACTGAGCTAAGAAAATTTAGTTACAGCATCACAGAAAAAGTGAAGCTGATAAAAAGGAAGCCTACCCTGGGAGCTACGTTTTTAAAAGCATTTGGTTCCTCTACAGGGATCTCTCTGCTTAGTAAGTGCAGTAATTCAGGTTGATTGCACAACATCCATTTGGCCTACTTCTGCATGTGCATGAGAAAATTTTAAATCTCCTGACCATTTTGCATTAGTGGAAAGCAGAATCAACTCTGCAAGACAAATAAATAAGACAGGACTTTTTAACATTTAATTTTCATGTTTACCTGCCTGCAATTCCTCACAGAAGACTGCCACATCTATTCATTTCACTACTGGCATCTAAAACTTCTGCTAGGTTATTGGAGTAACTTGTGCTTTATTTACTATGCTAACACTGCAAGTAAGTTTTCATTTCCCTTGGAACATTTCCAGGGAAAATGGGATTAAGAAGTAAGGCCACATCATGTCCATTCAAAGTCCAGTAGCTGCTACTACTGGCAGCTCTGAGTAAAAGTGTTAGAAGTCTTGGCTCTTCTTAGGAAACCTTGGATATTATGATACGTAAGAACTTGGCAAGTACTCCTTACTCCTGTATTTGCATAATCAATGTAATATGGCATATAAGCACTCATTTTGGAAGAGCACAAATTCAGAGCACTTTAGCATGCAGGTTTAAACACTACTGGGCTGAAATACAAAACAATATGGCAACAAACTGAGCACAATTCTTAAAAAAAAAGAAGCTAGTGTTTCAAAGAGAAATCTTCAGAAGTTCATCAGCAATGAAACTTGGCATGAACTACTAATAGGAATGAGATGACACCAGCATCTCAGAACACAAGTGTCCCTCATCTGTTAGAACACCATGGATTTTTTTTTTTAAAAGCACATCTTGAAGTATATGTTGACAACACAACAGCAGCAATGCATTTCAAGCAGGGAGAGTTTTGGAGGGGAGTGGAAAGTGGGAGCAAGAGATTTAATACTTGACAATTCACTTTGGGTGGGTAATGACTCTGCATATAGTTACACAAAATGCATTATTTCAAAAAGAAACACTAGATTACTAGATTAGAAAGACTCACTGTTTCTCAATTCAATCCCACAGTGCTGTATGCCCCATTAGGGCATACTTCCTAAATACAAAATTTTGATTCCATAACACAGGTCCATTTACACCTACTTATGTCAAAAAACCCCACAAAATATGGAATATTATCAGCTTTCCTGAAGAACAGCAGTAGATGGAATTTACTGAACACTACACAAAAAATTAATAGGACAATATTATTATGAAGGGCGAAGTTTCATCCTTGAACGGGCATAACACTAATATCTGAGAGGTGTTAAGAACCCCCGTCCATATCCAAGCTGCAAGGCGTGCCCCAGCTCCCGCACCCATGAAAATGCTTCGTCACTCTCCCTTGCCTCATCTGCTTAAAGCTACATATCAAATGGCTACAGATCAGTCAGAATACAGCAAATATCCTTTATTAAGCTTTACGTCAAAGCGTGGTTAAAGATTGAACAGTGACCTTAATTTAACTTCAGTTACTTGTCTAATTTGAAAGACCAAGACTCACAACGTCAGCAAGTTTCCAAATCATGGTCTAGCAGCCTGATATATTGCCCAAGTACACACAAACAGCTGAAATTTTGTAACATCTTAAATTTCAATATTTGTAGCCCTGTGCTGAACCACTAAGTCACACGACACAGAGGTTTGTAAGTATTCAGTTTCCAATGCCATACAGTAAAGTGGGTACGATGCCAGATCACATGACAAGGAATGTTTACTTGAACTCATGTGGGGTGTTTTTTTTTTTAAAATTCCCTTGACTAACCTTGAGACAAGTAGAGTGCTGATGCACAAACAGCGCTCAGTAACAGACACTGTAGTCAAGTCTACCCAAATTTAAAATCTTTTTCCTGTTTTCAGAGCTGCATCTTTCAAAAATGGTATGATGTCTATTTCAGCAACCGCATGTTTCATAAATAATGTCAATGACGAAATGTTTGAGAAAAATGTTTGTTAACAGCTTATTTTGTTTGTTTTTTTTAACTGAGACAATATTTAATTTAATATTCTCCTCACTTAGTGTATCCTCCTAAATGGTCAAATTGAGGTAGGTCAGCTAGCAAAGAGAGGTGGGCAAAGGGCTAAGAGAATTCAGACACAGGCCATGAAATTATAAGGCCAGTTTCAGACTACCGCACCTTTTACACAATTTTAGTAGATAACCACAAGTTACATCCATTACATTGCCACTTCTAATTACAACCAAGGTAACAAAACCAGCACAATTATCAAAGCTGTCTGAGCTGGTCACATGATGAATAAAAGAATTCATAAGATTCATACCAAAAAAATCTCAAAATCAGATCAAGATGAACCAAGTTACGAAGTTAAGTACAGCTGTTAACCACTCGTAAAGAAACTCCAAATCCTGTGCATTCTGAAACCCCGAAGGCAGAAAAGGCATTGTCACCATTAGCCTAATTTTTTCTGCAGCTTATTACATACAAAACCAGAACAT